ATCCCCTTTCATTTTTCTTTTAAAAATCCACTTGTACCCAAGAGGTTTACAACTTGGTGGCAGATTCATCAATTCCCAAGTGTGATTTTGCAGGATGGATTCAACTTCACTATTCACAGCTTCTTTCCATAAAGGAGCCTCAGGACTGGACATAACTTCTTTAAAAGTTAAGGGCTAATTTTCTAACAAAAATGTTAGAAAATCTCGACCAAAAGATTTTGAGGTTCTATCACGTTCACTATGCCTAGGTTCCTTTTCTTTATTTTGATCTATCTCTTGCTCTTGTTCTCGACCATGTTCTTGATCTTGACTAGTAATAGCATCATGAGATCTTTTGTTAGTACTAGTCTCTTGTCTAGTTTTATTTGGAAATACATGTTCAAAGAATGATGCACTCCGAGATTCAATAATAGTATTTACATGTATTTCGGTATGTTCTGATTTATGAATCAAAAACCGATATGCACTACTATTCTTGGTATAACCAATAAAAATGCAATCAATGGTTTTAGGACCTATCTTAGTCTTTTTAGGACTAAGAATAGCCACTTTAGCCAAACACCCCCACACTTTTAAGTATTTGTAGGGTGGTACTCTCCCATGTAACATTTCATAAGGTATTTAATTCACTTTCTTTCAGGATACTTTATTGAGTATATAATTAGCAGAAAGTATTGCTTCCCCCCCCCCCCCCCCCCCACACAAGTTGTAAGGTAATCCAGAATTTATTAACATGGCATTCATTATTTCTTTTAAAGTCTTATTTTTCCTTTAAGCAATTCCATTTTGCTGAGGTGTAAGGAGTGGTGGTTTGATGAATTATTCCATATTCTTTACAAAACTCACCAAAAAGTGATTCATATTCACCACCTCTATCACTTCTAAGTTTCTTAATTTTCTTACCAAGTTCATTTTCAACTTCATTCTTATATTGAATGAAAGTTTCCAAAACTTCATCCTTGGTTCGAATTAAATAAACATAACTATATCTAGTATAGTCATCTATGAAAGTGATAAAATATTTTTTCCCACCTCTAGTTTGAATTGATTTAAAATCACAAATGTCACTATGAATTATTCAAGTGGTTCCGTACTTCTTTCAATTGAATGAAAAGGAGTTTTGGATAATTTTACCTCAACACAAATATCACATTTATGAATTAAATCAATGCCAAATTTAGGTAAACATTCCATATTAATTAATCTACGCAAGGATTCATAAATAACATGTCAAAGTCTACCATGTCATAAATTTGAAGACTCAAGCAAATAAGAAGATGTATTTTTATTAATAACAGAGGGTACAACTGCCATTATATTCATTTTGAAAAGGCCATCAGACATGTAACCTTTTCCTACATACGTCCCATTTTCGGTAAGTACAAACTTGTCACTTTCAAAAACTAGCCTAAACCCATTTTTACTCAACAAAGATCAAAAACCAAGATTCTCGCGAATGTCCAATACATACAGCACATTGTTGAGAGTGAGTTCCTTTCTAGATGTCTTCTTAAGTACAATCTTTCCTTGTCCTTCAACTTTGGAAGTTGAGGAGTTGCCCATAAAAAGTTGTTCACCGTTGTCCACTGTAGAATAAGATGTGAACATCTTTTTGTTGACACAGATGTGACGAGTAGCACCAATGTCCACCCACCATTCTTTAGGATTTTCGACAAGATTTGTCTCGGAAATAACTGCAGAAAGATTTATGACATTAACACTATTGAAAATATTGTCCACTTCGGTCATATGGGCTTGAGTAAGCTTCTTCCTTGTTCTTTTTTTGCTTTTGCTTTTGCCTTTGCTATGGCAATCTTTGGCACAACGTTCCTCTTTATCATAGATATAACACTTGCCATTAAACTTGTACTCTTTAGTTTCCCCTCATTTAGAGCCTTGTGAGGAACTTTCTCCAGAAAACTTGCGTTTCTTGGCTTTGGAACATGTTCCACCACATTTGCCTTTGACTCCATTGGATGCTTACCAGACCGCTTCTCTGAATTACGGTTGTCCTCCTTAATCCTCAAACACACAATCAATTCTTCTAAAGACATTTCTTTACGCTTGTGTTTGAGGTAGTTCTTGAATTCCTTCCAGCCTTGTGGTAATTTTTCAATTACGGCTGCAACTTGGAAGGATTCACTGAGAGACATGCCTTCTGCGTGAATGTCATACAGAATGAGTTAGAGATCTTGAACTTGGCTGATCACAGTCTTAGAATCAACCATCACAAAATCCAGAAATTTTCCAACCACAAATTTCTTTGAGTCAGCATTTTCTGTTTTATACTTTTTCTCCAAAGACTCCCAAAGTTCCTTTGCTGTCTTGATAGGACTGTAAACATTATATAATGTGTTGTCAAGTCTGTTCAAGATGTAGTTCTAGCAAAGGAAATCAACATGTTTCTAGGCATCGACCGCAGTAACCACTTGCCAGTCAGTTTCATCCTCGTTTAGAGTAGGAGCATTCTCACAGAGAAAACGAGCTAGGTTCAGAGTAGTAAGATAGAACAACATTTTATGTTGCCATCTTTTAAAATCAGTTCAAAATCAGTTCCTGAGAGCTTCTCTGGCTTCTCACCGTGATTGATTGGCACAGTCACAACCGGAGGGTAGGAGCAATTGCAGCCATGACACTAATATTTGTTTGAGCATTAGTTTCAGTAGCCATGAATTCTAAATTATAATTAAAATTTTATACTACAAAGAAAATTTAAACCAAACCCACAGAATTTAATTCTGTAAAAATAAAAGGAACAAGAAATGTAACTTTTATTTTTCAATTAATTTGAAAATAAAATAAAATTTTATTTAACCAAATTAATTTCACACAGAAAATTAAATTTCTGTAACACTTCAATAATTAAAATACTGAAACAAAATTTTAATTAATGAACACTCATAAATAATTTCTGACAAAATTCCACAAATAAAAAATTACATTTGAATCAACACAATGTTTTGTCTCCGGATTTGACAACGTAGGGACCTAACACCAGGAACCCCTAAAACCCCACTAAAGTATAGGCCGTTTATATATAATATTTCACCTTATTCACGTTTGACTAACTCTAACTATCCTTTTTAAAATTAACCATATACTTCTCTCATGGTTTTAAATTAATTTGTAACACTAACAACATTAATTTTACTTGCAAAAAACACTTGTACAATATTTAACTGACATAAATGTATTTTTTTTTAGTATCACTATCTCACACTTTGGAGTATCTCCAACGGTGTATCAATTATTTCATTAAATTTGAGTAAAAAATGAGTAATTCATCTATCTGATATCCAGCTCTCTAACGGAGCATTGTGGGCTGTCATCAAAACATCGGTCGATCGGGAGGACGACCGGACGAAAGTCCAACTGGTCGACCGGCCAGTGTAATCTGAAAATTCTTTTTCCCTTCATTTTCAACTAAGCGGAAGATCGGTTGGACATTCGGCCGGTCAGCCGGTAGGTCGTCCGACGTCCAAAAACAATGGCTCTAAAATAGTGAAATGCTGAAAATCCAAATGTCCTCAATTTGGTGAAATATTTTTGATATTCTCGATTTGATATGTATTTAATGAAAGTGTCGGAGCAAAAAAAGAGGCAAATTTTTATCAAATTTAAATTTAATGATAAATTTAATACATCATTAGAGATGGTCTTATATGAGTGTTTGGTAATTTTTTTGATAAATCATTTAATAATTCTAGCATTGCTCTTTGTCCACTATGAACCTGACACACCAAGGACTAGAGACTAGAGTTTCTACCCCCAACAAGACGGAATGGCCGTCCACTGACGACTTGACTTGAACATAAATATTCTTATTTACATATTTTAATAATTTTTAAATATATGCATTATATAGTAATAATAATAATTATAACTAGGTGCTCATGACTTGAGACTTTTCAAAACAATCAAGTCTTATACAGCTTGTAAAACTTTAATCTTTCAACACTAGCATCAAATTGCATTCCACACTCAGAAGCTATGGGCACAACCTCTAGTGCTCTTGTGATGTTATTTGCTCTTTTTTTCATTGAAAAACTTGAGTTCATTTGTAGTAGTACAAATTCAAATGTGAGTTGCATAGCGAGTGAGCGAGAAGCTCTTATGAAATTCAAAGGAAAAAACAATCAAGTCTTATACAGTTTGCAAAACTTTAATCTTTCAACACTAGCATCAAATTACATTCCACACTCAGAAGCTATGGGCACAACCTCTAGTGCTCTTGTGATGTTATTTGCTCTTTTTTTTTCATTGAAAAACTTGAGTTCATTTGTAGTAGTACAAATTCAAATGTGAGTTGCATAGCGAGTGAGCGAGAAGCTCTTATGAAATTCAAAGGAAATCTCACAGATTATGCAAACCGTTTATCCTCATGGGTTGGAAAGGACTGTTGCATGTGGAAGGGAGTTGGTTGTAGCAATAAAACAGGCCATGTTGTGAAGCTTGATCTGCATAATCCAATTCATGATCTAGTTGATCCAAATTTCAAAATGAGCCAACTGGGTGGTCAGATAAGTCCTTCTTTACCCGATTTAAATCATTTGTATTACCTAGACTTGAGCATGAATTCATTTTATGGTCCGCTGCCATCATCACTCGGAAGACTATCATATTTGAGAGTGTTAGATACTGGAGATAATCAATTGAATGGGAGCATTCCAATAAGTCTTGGACAACTTGCAAAGCTAGAATATCTAGATTTGTCAAAAAATGCATTGAATGGGAGCATTCCAACAAGTCTGGGACAACTTTCAAAACTAGAATATCTAGATTTGTCAAATAATGCATTTGTTGGTACCGTATATGAACTTCACTTTGCCAAACTCAATAGTTTAAATGAATTGTACTTGCATTCAAATTCATTAGTTTTGAAAGTGACCTCCCAATGGGTTCCTCCCTTTTAACTCCAAGTCATACAATTGTCATCCATCAAAGTAGGACCCCAATTTCCTCAATGGCTCAAAACACAAAAAAATGTTACAGAGTTATACATGTCAAATGCAAGCATCTCAGTTGTCATTCCTGATTGGTTTGAGAGTCTTTATTGTGGCATTATACACTTGGATCTTTCTAACAACCAGATCAAAGGAAAGGTGACAATATTTCAAAAATGTAAATATAGTGCTCATGATAAACAGTTACTATTGAGTTCTAACAGATTTGAGGGCCCACTAGCACCGCTTCCTTCAGATGTTTATGTCTTGGATCTCTTCAACAACTTGCTTTTAGGACCTATTACTGTGAGTGATGATAATGCGACGATGAGTTTGAGTTATCTTTTTCTCTCAAATAACAACTTGACTGGTGTCATTCCAGTGTCTTTGTGCAAGGCAAAGGATATAAGAATTATTGATTTCTCAAACAATCAGTTATCAGGGAAAATTCCTCCTTGCTTGGGGCAGTTGGATCAGTTGGAGGTGCCAGATTTGAAGAATAATAGTCTATATGGTGAAATTCCAAGTTCATTGGGTTCCCTACAATTTCGCAATTCCTTGCACATGCGTAACAATAAGTTTTATGGGAAGCTTCCTTTGTCCTTACAGAATTTGACACAACTTTTCACCATTGATCTAGGTGAAAATGTGCTCACTGATAATATCCCTCCATGGATTGGATATAACCAAACAAGTCTTAGATTTTTCAGTCTTCAATCAAATAATTTCTATTGCTTTCAGGACCTATTACTGTGAGTGATGATAATGCGACGATGAGTTTGAGTTATCTTTTTCTCTCAAATAACAACTTGACTGGTGTCATTCCGGTGTCTTTGTGCAAGGCAAAGGATATAAGAATTATTGATCTCTCAAACAATCAGTTATCAGGGAAAATTCCTCCTTGCTTGGGGCAGTTGGATCAGTTGGAGGTGCCAGATTTGAAGAATAATAGTCTATATGGTGAAATTCCAAGTTCATTGGGTTCCCTACAATTTCGCAATTCCTTGCACATGCGTAACAATAAGTTTTATGGGAAGCTTCCTTTGTCCTTACAGAATTTGACACAACTTTTCACCATTGATCTAGGTGAAAATGTGCTCACTGATAATATCCCTCCATGGATTGGATATAACCTAACTAATCTTAGATTTTTCAGTCTTCAATCAAATAATTTCTATGGTGATATTCCTCCACAACTCTGTTATCTCCAAGATTTGCAATTGTTGAACTTGGCACAAAATAACATAATGGGAAATATCCCTCGTTGTTTTGCCAACTTCACTGCCATGGTTGCAGTAGATAGTGTGTTTGATTTCAAACTATATAACTATTATGATGTTAGTGCAACTTATGAAGAGAACATTTTGGATTCAATGAAAGGAAGAGAACTGGAATACACCAAGACACTCAAATTTCTTGTCTCCATGGACCTTTCGAACAATGGCATTATTGGAGAGATTCCAGAAGAGTTAATGGATCTTTTTGGGTTGCTGAACTTGAATTTATCTGGAAACCATCTAAAAGGAAGGATCCCTAATAATATTGGCAATTTGACACGATTGGAATCTCTTGATTTGTCTCGAAACAAGCTTTTTGGCCCTATTCCTCTAAGTCTGTCCAATTTAAGCTACCTAAGTCATTTGAACATGTCGTTCAAAAATTTATCAGGGCGAAAACCAACGGGAAATCAACTTCAAACTCTCGACAATCCTTCCATTTATATAGGCAACGATGGCCTTTGTGGTGCACCACTAAACAGCTGCCTCGATGATAAATCATCTGATGGTGATCACAAACATGCTGGAGAGTAAAGTTGCAGATGAAACTGATTTTTTGTGGTTCTACACTGGCATTGGACCTGGTTTCTGGGTTGGGTTCTTAGGGGTCTGTGGTACTTTGAATTTCAAGAAGTCTTGGAGGTATGCATACTTCCAGTTCATCGAAAACAATTACAATTGGATATCAGTAACCATAGCAATCAAGTTCGCTCGGCTAAGGAGGAAGTTCAACAAAGGAAAATTTGGAAGATGAATTTATCTCCCAATTGGTTCGTCTCTCTCTCTCTCTCTCTCTCACATATCATGTACATACATTACCTCCGTATCTTGTGATAATTTCAACGTGTGCATCAAATTTCCATCTTCATAGCCCATGATTTTTCTTACATGAATCTTTTGAATTTTTTTCATTTCCTTACCGTCATTAGCATAACAATGCTAATCATGTTAATGATTTTTGGAATATCATCACTACTTGAAGAATAACCATTCATATTTTGAAGTGGAGGTAGTGATATTTCCAGATTATCATCAAAACATGTCTTACATTCAAGATCATATAGTAAAGTATACAGATTAATTTCCACCTAATTTCTTTACGGAAAGTGCCAAAATTCTTTGTCACATGCTTAAAAACATTGAAACAAATGCAAGTTTGTCGTTTTATAGTTCAAATAGTGCAAATACATTTCTCAAATAATTTTTCAAAAGTCAATTGTTGCATTATTTCAGAGAAACCATGTTAACATCCACTAATATGCTGGTTATATGCTTTGCTGTCATTGAAGGGTCTTATATTCAGCTGGAGAAAGGACCCTCAGAGGAAGCAGCATTGAGATCATGTTATGGATTTTCTTGAGTTGTTGGAAAGAAATAAGTTTGAATAATTCTATAGTTCTAGTATACATGTTGATGGGGTTTGATGATTGTGTCTTTTGTAAAATATTCTAAAGTAAGTCTTTCCTTAAATAAATGACTTGTGAACTATCATATTATCCAGAATATGTTATAGACTATGTTTTGCATAATATGTATTCTCCTTTTATTGGTGAATTCTATGATTTTTGCCAATTGAGGCCATGGATTCTAGTTTTAATTTTGAGAACTGAGCAAAATGCTCTAACAATGATATACATATAGTAATGGTATCACCAACAAAAACCTTATCAAAATAGAGAGTTATTGTGCCACAGTCAAATTCACATATAAGTTCAACTATTCATGTTTTTCTTCACATTGTAGTAATCTTTACTTATGTCAAAGCTTTTAATGATTTAGGAGAAGTTAGTAATTTTTACTTGTGTCAAAGCTTTTAATGATTTAGGAGAAGTACGTAACATCAGTAATATACATGTATGATTCTGAAAAGGTCACGACTAGTGACCACTACTTTTGTTGCTGCTGCAATTGCTGCAGATTGTGAGATTTCATCTTTCTCATCATCACCTCCTCATCTCTATTACATGCTATTTACCATTTTGGGCAATAGAACTAATCCAAGTTTTTCCTCAAAATAAATAAAAACTTAACCAAGTTCTTTATGGAATTGTTTGTAAATTTTCTTGTATTGCTTTGAAAAAAGTCTTTCTATCAATGTTGTTTTGCTAAGATATTATGGAATTGATTTAATGTGAAAATTTTAGAAACCACTGACGTAATTTGTCCAATAAAAAAAGGCAAGTTCCGTTTGTCACTAGTACTTTTAAAAGCTTGAGATAAATAGCATGATCTAGAACGAAACTAATACAAATAATACGTAAATATAAAAATAATTAATGATACAACAAACATTTCAATATAAAGATATAATTTTTTTTTAAAATCTATATGATTAATGAATGGCCAATAATATTATATATATATATATATATATATTTCTAATGATATTTAGTTTACCATCTCATGGTCACAATTGCATTAGTTAAGTTGTGTCACGACCCCAAACCGCCCCTAGTAGTTTGGTGCCGTGATGGCCAGTAATCCGAGATTACTGAAGGCCAACTTTCAAAATTCACACACAGTCAGAGTATAATATGGGGCTCACAAGTGCGGAAGCAATAATTTAAAATACAAGTGGTCCATAAGAGCAGTGCATAAGTCAAATGGAATGGCAAACATCTTTACATAGGTTAAAAACTTGAATACAAATAAATTGAAGTACAAAAATACATATTATATTTAGACAAAAGGCTTCTCGAGCCGATGTGTTCAAAATACATAAGCTTCAAGATTGCCGACATCCTTACTGCCGACATAACATACATGCAAAACACACATTTCGGCGAAGCCAACTTCTTACTTGTTACCTACATATATACATAGGGAGGGTGAGCTTGGATACTCAGTGAATGGTATAAGTAATAAAGTGGTTAAATGAATGATACCCGAGATCCTTTCAAAACAATACATAGTATATCATCATCAAAACCATACATAACGTAGCTTAGCTTGACTTGTAACAAAACATCAATCAAATCTTAGTCTTTCAAAACTTGCTTGGAATACTTAACATACATCGACTTAAAACATGGGGTGATGACATTCCAGGCAAAACAAAAGCATAACCTCGGCATCGAGCACACTCGTTCATAGTCCGTCAGTGGCCGATATCTTAACAAGGGTGCTACTTAGGCTTAACGTCCCCTAGCACGAAAGGACGGTGCTACCTAGGCTTAAAGTCCCCTAGCACGGAAGGACTATGCTACTTAGGCTTAAAGTCCCCTAGCACGGAAAGATTGTGCTACGTAGGCTTAAAGTCCCCTAGCACGGAAGGACTATGCTACTTAGGCTTAAAGTCCCCTAGCACGGAAGGACTATGCTACTTAGGCTTAAAGTCCCCTAGCACGGAAGGACTAGTGCCACAAATGCTTATAGTCCCCTGGCACGCACGGACTATGTTACCTAGGCTTAACGTCCCCTAACACGAAAGGACGGTGTTACTTAGGCTTAACGTCCCCTAACACGAAAGGACGGTTCCAAGGATGTCACCCAAAACAAAGCTTATACTTGATACATAAAATAGGGATATCATTCATGCTTAAAAAAATACTTTTATCAAAACAAGGCAAAGCTTTATTAAAACTTGATAACATAACTTTATCAGAAATACCACTCACATAGTCCTTGGGACGTCGGGATCAAGGCAAAGGTCCAAGTCCTACAAACACATGGCAAGGTCTAATGAACATACTCCCCAAAACAAGTCTTACATGCATGCAAATGATCTCGGGAAAACATGCTGGAAGTCAAAACACTATTTTACATGTCAAGAAGACATGCTGGGTACCAACCAGGTCTTTACTGAGGTCCCACACCTCCTGGCCAAGGTGTGGCTACCTAGGCTTCGGCATACGGCTGCATGCTGAGGTGCGCACAAGACAGACTAAAGGTGTAAGTGATCATGCAAGGTAGGCCAAGGTGAGATACGATGCTTGGCCTAAGTGTGAGGTCTAGGTAAGAGTGATCTCGGCGACTACACTTAAGGAAGTGAGGTCTGGAGATCTGGGTTTCCACCCGTGCAGAACATGAAGAACATGAACATGAAGATCATGAAGAACATGAATGCTAAAATCATAACTTCTTTATTACAAAATCTGGGTTTTCATGCTATGAGTTCGAAAACATGGACCTGGGTACCCACACTTGAAAATCATATGGAAACAAGCACAAAAACATGGATCTAGGCATGAGCTTTCGGATCAAAACATGACTTTTCTTGAAGAACACATGAATACTATTTTCTCTTTCTAAAACCGAGCTTCAAAGCAATGCATGGCTTACAAATCATATTTAATCATGCAATGCAACAACATAAACATAAAGAATGACAAGAGCAGATCAAGAATCTAACCTTAGAATACGGATCTAACGGTTCGATCTCTAGGGATCAAGCTTGGGATCTACTCTCCCTCAAGAACTCCTCTCCCTCTTCTAGAGCTTCTCTCTCTTCTTCAAAACAAAGACATATAGCAAATGATGGGTTTCCTCTCTCTACCGGCTGACTTAACACTCAGCTCGGACACATGGCAACGGCTGGTTGGTTCTCCTAAAAAAGGTGATAGATTGACAAGACAAGACTATGACAAAGTGTATCTAACAAGCTACACTGTAGGGCACTCCGGCAAGTGATGACATCGGCTAAGGACAAGGCTTCGGCAACTAAGGCGACAATGACCTCGGCTAGGAAGGACAACACTTGACTAAGCTGTGCCACACCTTGGCCTAGATGTGCCACACCTCGTTCTTGGTCATACCACTCCAGGACAAGATCACTTAGGTGCAAAGGTAACATCTCGGCCTAGATGGTACACATCTCGGCCTTGGTGATGAACACATCGGCCTAAATAATGACATCTCGGCTAATATGTCAGGGCGAGGGTGGAGGTCGAACAAAGGGGTTCCAAGATGATTCTAGACTGAAGATGACCTCGGCTTGGAACGACCTAGGCGTAACATGACCTCGGCTAGACATAACCTAGGCTTGGCATGACTTAGGCTTCAGGCAGCAAGAAAGGAAACAAACATGCAACACACTTAAGCAAAACAAGGCAAGATTCATGAATTCAAACTTAGCAAGACAGGATTATATAAATGTATGCAAGCATGACTAAGATATGAATGTGGGTCCTTACAAGTTGGTTCCATCACTAGTGACAATTTCAAGACAATTGTGACAAATGAGATGGTAAAAAATGTGATCATGTAAATGAATGATTTTGCTTAGTGGAAAAAAGGATAGATCCTAAGAATGAATTGTGAATCCAAACATATCAAGTTTAACTTTCATTAGTTTCTCAGACTTAATCGATACATGTGATTTATAGACAATTTTAAGAATTCGAGATTTACTTACTCTGAAGAGTGGGTCAAATGTAGCTTTCATGATTGCATTGGTTAAGTTGGTTCCATCACCCACATGGTGTAATTATTCTTTTTGTCCTTATTAGTCATAGAGATTCGAGAGTAGGAGAGAATTAAGTGGGGGGAACTATTCATATAGGAACCATAATTAAGCTTATGTTTGGGAAGTTGAG